ATTATATTATAATTAAATATTTAATAATAAATTAATTTAATAATTTATTATTGAATAAATAAAAATTTAAATTTTTTTAATAAAAATCTGATTTTGGAAATTTCAAACTTATTTTCTTATTTTTGAAATAGGTTAAATTTATTTTCTTGAATATGTAATCTTCCCTTTCAAATTTAAGACATCAAGTTTAAAATTTAAAATTTCAAATATTTTTAAATTAATTAATTAAACATATATTTTATTAATTAAATATATCAATGTCACAATTCCATATAATTTGGTCACAAATTTCATATAATTGGTCACAAACACAAATTTTATATGTCACAATTCATAAATTTTATAGGTCACATATCAAAAATTGAAACGTCACGAATTATTTTAAGATCACAATTCAAAAAATTTTATATGTCACAATTTGATCATCGGTCACAAATAAGAAATTTTATAAGTCACAAATTATTTTACGGTCACAAATCACAAATTTTACATATCACAAATTATTTTACGGTTACAATTCAAAAAATTTATAAGTCACAATTTGTTCATCGATCATAAATAAAAAAATGAAACATCACAAATTATTTTTCGGTCACAATTCAAAAATTTTATACGTCACAATTTGTTTATCGATCATAAATTAGAAATTTTATAAGTCAAATTATTTTACGAACACAAATCAGATATTTTATAGGTCACAAATTATTTTACGGTCACAATTAAGAAATTTTATAAGTCACAATTTGTTCATCGATCACAAATCACAAGTAATTATCAAATTATTGGTCACATATTAACAAACTTTTATGTCACACATTATTTATTTGTCACAAATTATCAAAATTTAAGGTCACATTTTAATAGTTAGTCACAGTGAACCAAATAATTGGTGACATATACCAAACATCCCACCCTTGATCCCAATCCACAACCAATATTTGGTCACAAATCAACCAAATAATTGGTCACGGACACTATTTCACCACCGCCACTACCACGACAGCACCACAACACCACTAACAACAAAGCTGCCACCACTAGATCCAACATACTTCCAACAAAAATGATCATAGTCACCCGTCATCGCCGCCACCAGCCACCACCATCGCCACCACCACCATCAAATACCACCACTACTTTACCATCACCGCGGCCACTTTAACCGCTACCATACAATCGTTTCCATACACACCGAACAACACACATACATGATACACCATAGATAGTCTAATCACCGCTCAGCACGGATCGCCCACCACTTGCACCAGCAACTTAATGCCATCGCTACCACCGCAATCGCAATCGCACCACCACCACACCACACCACACCGCACCGTACTGCCGCGACAATGACAATCACCGATCCAAAACCACAGATTCGAAAACACAGATCTAAACCATAGATCCAACACATGAATCCAACTCTGCCAACACCAAAATCAAAGCTTACTCCACCTCCAACTCTGTCAAATGTTGCGCGACGCGTTGTAGAGACGATGTCACCGCAACGCTCACATCAAGGCGCGAATGCACAACAGCCACCAGAGGTGGCATCGGGGAAGGACACACCCGACGACTCCGGCTAAGCAGAACAAATTAGAGGAGAACGAAATCACACGAAAAACCCCAAACTCCCTTCCCAAGTTTTCCCTTTTCCGGCGACCAAAATACCCCAAACCCCTTCCCAATTTTTTCTACTGCAGTAGCAGGTGCACAACCTTGCAACATTGCTGCCAGTTCACAATAGTCTCGGCACTGCCTTTTGATGTCTCTACGAATTACAGAGATCAAAGCACCGCTGTCATCATGTAGCGGCCTACTAGCACCGCACTTAGCGACATTGATGTGAGGCTTGGTGAAGTCTTCCAGCCCCTTGGTCTTTCCCTAAGATTGTTAAATGAGGGAGAAAATTGATAAAGAATGCGACGAGAGAGAGAGAGAGAGAGAGAGAGAGGGAGAAGGAAGAGGGTTGAGAGAGAAAAAAATGAGGAAAAATTATTAAGGTTTGAAAATGAAAGGGTTAGATTAAATTTAATTTTATAATATTTTTATTAATATTTAAAAGATCATCTGATATTTGAATCTGATTTTTGAATTGGGCATTTTAAAACTCTGGATATGTGTAATTTCCACAATAAGAATTGTGGAAAAATCGCATATAGCCAAGAAAATGAAAATAATTCTTGAAATACTACATAATTAATTATACATTACATATGCTATATAGCATACAAAAGAAGATGAAAATTACTAATTCCAATAATTGCTCTTAATTTATGTAATTGATACACAACCAGAAGTCAACAACCAATAATCCGCCCACCATTAAATCTGAATACTTAAGAACGTTGATGGGCTTACATGAAAAATGGAAGCTACAACGTGGAAAGGGGAAATTCGAGTGGTTTACAAATAATATTCTTTCATTTGTTGCATTGTGTTGAAAAATCTTCCTCTTATTTTTTAACGTAGTTAAAGATTAATATACGGATTTAATAATCGGTGAAAAATTCCTAATAGTTATTGATTTGGTGCACAATTTATAGTTCGTGAATGTGCTGAATATATTTGCGCTTCAAATATGTAGTCAGTAAGGACACGAAATTAAGAATCGGTTGAAATTTTAAAACATAGAATAAGATATATATCATTTAGCAATAAAAAATAATCCAATAATTCTCGAATCTAAACACGTTAATTGTTGTTGAATAAATCGCATGTCAAACATAGCAATAGAAAGAAAACTAACTGCACAATCTATTTCGAATATTATGTTTGACAACTATAAACTTGAGATGAATATTATGAATGAGAAGTCCATCGAGTACGTATGTCCAACTTTTCATTTTTTATGTCCACAATCTCAAGAGAGTCTTCTTTCATTGGTGTCGAAGCATACTTTGTTGAAAGACGAGACAAGCATCGAGTGGGGTTTCCATGCCAATGATTTATTGCTTCGGTTCTAAAATGTAGACATTGGGATTTTGGTTATGCAAATTGAAAAGTATCACAGCGTTCTTTGATTTGAAAAGGGTTTTACAATGAATCGCAACAACTAAGGGTCTGTTCTCTTTACTATTTTCAAGTTGTTTTCTATTTTCGATTTTTCAAAACAGTGAAAACGCGTTCTCTTTTCTATTTTCGAAAACACGTTTTTGAAAATGAAAAAAAAAATACACTGAAAACACAAAACATTCAAAACCACGTTTTGGAAATTTTGAAGCCAAAAACACGGTAAATTTAGAAAACGCGGAAAATGCATTTTTTGCCTTTATCTCTTTCTCAGTTCTCTCCCATCTCACTCCTGTTAGCTAGGGCTCAGACTGGAGATTCCACCGACAATCCAAAGCTTCGATCTATGTCCGATCTCAGTGCCCATAATCCGAAGCTTCAACTGATTTTCCATTTTCGATCCCAGGTACCGATAATCCATTTCTTTGCTTGATATTCTATATCTTGTCTTCAATCTGGTTTCGTATCTGGGTTTTTTCAGTTTGAGGAACTCACTGATGCTCTGTTTTTGGTTTTTCCTTATTCTTATGCAGGAAATCATCTTGATTAAACACCATCTTGCAGTTAACGGTTTGAAACCATTGCTAATATCGAGACTCGATCATCAAGATGCTATAGCACGCCTGAATCTGCTTAAACTAATTAAGGTGAGCAAAGGACTAGTTCTTATCCTGCATCAGAAGAGTTGCAGATTCTTTTAAATTAGAATCATGCTGTTGTGAAATCATTGAACTGACCACTTTAGATTAAATGTATTGGATTGGCATTTTTCCTCACCAATTACGGCCTATTTTGTTTTTTCTGTATACATTTTTCTATGCATTGTCATTGTTCTTTCTTGTGTGCTTATAGTTGGGGTTTTGAAACATGGGAATCTTACGTGGCATATCATTAGGCCCATACCCTTCCTCATAGAATTGCACAGTACAAGCAAATTCCCCCGAAAGAGAAGCAAAAGGCACACTAAAATAAGTTGTGGCTTATATTAGAATGTTAATCAGAAATGACAGCAAGAATCCTTAATGCAACAAAATGGTTTACTCGGTTTATGGTTTGATTTTACATTACTCTCGTTAAGTTATGTTTAGTATGGTGGATTCGACTATATATGGTAAACAATATTAATGTATGATATTATACACAATTCGAATTTGGCGGTAGTCACAAATTTACATATCCTTTCACTCGACGAATGATGACAGAGAATAAGACGCATAAAGGGTAAGGTTTTTATCCTTATGATTATTGTAATTTAAGTAATAATTTTTAATGCTAGTACTTGTGACTCTTCATACCTCATCCAACATGTGCAAACACGGTAAGTAGTTCAATTATGATTTTCTTTCCCTCTTTGATTGCCTTTTCTTTTGTCTGCAACAAAATGGAGATTGATATAATTCGCCCATATTCTTCTTCAACTGATTGAACACTAGTTCTTTTACTCCTCTGATCTCATGGGTCATGTGCATGTTAACTAAATATTACCACTGAAGTTGGGATATTCAGTATCTGGTAGATATAATCTACTTTGGTACCATCCGGTTTTTTTATATGTTTTAGAAAAATACAAATCATAACAGTACAAAAAAATTTCTAGCAACAATTTCATACTTTATGCTTCAGGTGAAAAAATGTCAATTATTTTTAATACGTACTGATTTTTACTTTTCATCATGCATTTCTTTTGCAAGCTATTTCTACTTTTGTTGACCTCTGCATTTGTTCCATTTTTGTTCATGGTCATACATTTAAAGAGATGCTGATGTTTCTCAAGAATCTGCTGATATTCAAGTATATTTTGCCATCCACATATTCCGAAAATATAAAATTCTTTTGATTTCTACTGCTGATTATGATAATTTTATGCTGACAGGCTAGTATTGACACACTACAATATCTTCCTAAAGCTAGAATCTTCGATTTGTTTAATACGAAATACACCCGTACTGTCATTGTAAGTAGCTTTTCTGTTGTTCTTAATTAGCTTTACCATATTGTTTACAAGTACTTATTTGGGTTCGTTCTTTTCCTGTTCAGATTGGAGTTGGATTAATGGTGTTCCAACAGTTTGGAGGAATAAATGGAATCGATTTCTATGCAAGTGAAACGTTTGTGGCTGCCGGATTTTCTTCAGGGAAATTTGGAACAATTGATTATGCTATAATTCAGGTTTGTTAGAGGAAAAAAGAGATACGGAGGACAAAGGAAACCGAAAGGAAAGTGATTCATGAACTTGTTCCACCTATGTAATCGATTAGAAGACTTAGCTTATAGTTGTCTGTTTATGTAATCCAAACTAAAGTTGAAGTTGAATATTGCTCATGGGTTCTCTTTGTAAATTGCACTAGAGTTTTCACAATCTTCTTTAAACGTATGTATTAGTTTTCTAAATTGGTCAATGACAGAAATTTCTATGGTGATGTCCTTTGAATTATGTTGTTTAAAATGATTTCTTTTATGTTAGTGTGTGCAGGCGTATATCTCTGTAATATGAAGTCGTAAATGAATTTTATTTTTCCTTCACGAACTTGGGACTTACGTTGCAACCAAAGAGCATTAGTTTTGATGCTAGTCAAACAGTTCAAATGGGACGAGTCCGAGATCAAATTGCTACTACTCTAGATGTCATACATAATTCTGTGGATTTATTTACACTTATACTTCTAATCATATAGATTGAATTGTTTNATTTAATTTAAGTTGTGTCTTTCATATATGGAAAAAAAATATTTCAAAATTCACCAACTTTAAAATTTATATGTTATTTAATACTATATTCACATTAAGTATTAAAATTTATTGAATAATCAAATTTCTTGAAATAAAATATTATATAAAAAAATTATCAAAAATTTCAAAGTAAACACATTTTCCATTTTTATGTTTTCGGAAACAGTTTTTCAGAATGACAAAAAAAACGCATTTTCAGAAATTTCAAAATAGACACTCAAAACACAAAATATAAAACGAATTCAAAACACAAAACACAAAACTGAAATACGAAGAGAACGACCCCTAAACAATTGAGCATTATATTATTGTTTCAAAATTTCAAAAAATGGAATGAAGATTTTTAGCCTTATATTATGAATAATGCTATTTGTCATTGCCCTATTAAATGATTAACCGCCATATGTATGTCACATATGACAATTACTATCGAGAGCGACGGTAAATAACATTACTCTTATATTGTACAGCAAAAGGTTATGTGCTAAATATTGGGAGGGAGGGAGAGAGGTGGTTTAATGGATTAACGGTGGGAAGGATATAATTTGAGGATTTTCCTTTTTACTATTTTCAGTATTATGAATAAAAAAAATGTAAACGGTAAAACTTGAATATTTTGCATAAGATGTGTATGTGGTGCAATTTTCACATAAAAATTCCAGTCACCCCTTTTCTTCATATTCACTTTTAAAGATACACGATGTTCAGAAACACCCGTAGGGATTGAGTGTCTAACTTAGTGGAAAAACTCTCCCAAACCCTTGACGCTCAGAAAGGTCATAAGGCCGATTTTTCCGCCGCTTCCGGCGAGCGGCCTAGTGCCGCTCGTCCGGCCACTTTGTTTATTTTCTTTGCTTCTTGTTTTTCCTTTCTCTTTTGCTCGTCCTTCCCTGTCCTTCATTTGCTTGCAAATGTAAGGTTCTCTCTATGTTTTTTGTTAACCTAGTTTGTCCTCTTGACTTCGTTTTTGTAGATGTCTTGTATTGGTGAAGGTTTTACCCGTCCAGTTTGCCGATTTGATTGCCGATTTGAATAAGTCGCTAGCCATGTTTTTGGTTCGTAGTTTGGACTTCGTGCTTCAAGGTGTTGCTGTTTGTGTGAGATATGTTTGGGGGAAAGGAGTGTTTCGGCCATTGGCTTTGGAAGACCGATCGGAATCTTTTCGCCCAGTTTCTACCGGCGTCAGTGTCCCTTGCCCAGATATGGTCCATGTAGTCTCTCTATCAAGCCCACTGCCGGACTGAGGTTATGGCTAGTGGTTGGAGTGGGATAGGGGCTTGTTTGGTTTCATTTTCTTTGTATGTTTTTAGGTCTTGTTTGGCTTTGTGGTAGCTTATGCTTTGTCGTATGAAGCACTTAAACTCTCTGTGGAGGGCATCGTGTTGGAGGAAAATCCTCTTTATATCCGCTTGCTACTTCGTTGCTTAATGAATTACATTTAAAAAAAAAAAAGATACACTAATGTTCTACTCTACTTGATTTTTAATACGATTTTGCATGTTTGTATGATGAATCGAATAAAATTAAATATAACAAATGATTAAAACCATACATTCTTTACTTATTTTCTCAAATTCTAATTAATCTAATATACTAAAAAATTTTTAGAGTAAGTTTAATTGCTATTATAGAATTTGCACGGAAAGAGAAATATTTTTAGACAATTCAATTGTCTATAACTTATTTGTATGTAAATTATTAATTAAATATGTTTGATTGCTTTAGTTTTCAAAATAGAAAATATTATACTTATTCATTTTTTATTGGTAGGTGGATGAAAGAGACGTGATAGATGAGAGAGGGAGTGAATTACTTAGAAAATAAAAACCACATCTTCTCAAAGAAGATATTTTCCTTGTTTCCGAGAAAAATATGATCACGTGACCAAAAATATAAAAATAATTTTTATGGAAAAAATTGTTAATGAAACAGCACAAAAACAGGAAATGAGGTGGAAAAAACACATTCTCAATGAAAAATATTGGCAATCAAACACACACTTAAACTTTTGACATATCGAGATATTCTATTTAACATAATTTTGCGGTTCTCATGTTACTCCAATTTATCATATTTAATGTAGAGGACATGAACAGATCAATTAACAATTTTTGTTTTATGAATTCATTTTCAATCATAGTCTATATAATTATCTCATATCCCATATAACAAAAATCTTGGGTGTTTTTAATACTCAACAAGTCCGATAAATATTGAATAGTCTGAAAAACATTTATAATATTGTCCCTCGATCAGCAATCACAAATTTTATTTTATTTTAATTAATTGCAATGTCAACAGGTAACAAGAACAATCCGAACCTCCAAATTTTGATTAAACAAGGAACTCGTTCAATAAATCCTTTTAAGATCCTTCCCTTCAAAATGTTATTCAAATATTCATTTTTTTGTATTCCCTTTTTTCTTTGCATTATAATATTGAACACCATTTCATTGTTTTACCATTTGAATCAAAATTATTTAGAAAATATAAAAATATTTAGTGTTGAAATAAATTTTTTATCAGATTTTGAAAAAAATTGACAGAATATGTGGTTGAAAAGTTGTGGATCCCGTGATTGTGTGGTTCAAAACTTAAAATTAATTGTTAATTTTGACTTAGAATTTAATTAATTTTTTTAACAATATCAAATAGGACTTAATAAATAACAAAAACAAATAGGAAAAAAAAAAAGAAAAAGAAAAACCACCACAAAAGGTAGCAACAAAACAATTAAACGAACATTAATTTTTTTCCTAACTTTACAGCACTTCATGTGCAGGGAAAAACATATCCCATGAATTGTTGGAACTTGGAACACCTGGAGACAACCTTAACGCCACGTCACGTAATCCCCACATCGAGGCCCAGTTCACCGTTCACCCATCACCCGCTCGTGAACCTATCATTCTCGTTTCCCATCAAACCTACTGCCACCCTATCAGTTAGTTGATCAATTTGAAATAAATATAAAGTTAAGTGACCAATATAAAATAAACCTATAAGTTTACTGACCTACAGTGTAATTGTTTTGATTACTATAATCTCCTGCCCGGACTGCGCGATCTGCCCGGACTGCCCCTCAAACCCAAAGTACCCAAGTACACCTTTCCCTTTTCCCGTCTCGAGCCCTCGCGACAATCTCAATCTCTTTCTATAAATCGCGCCTTGTCTCTACACCCATCGCATTTTTCTCTCCATCTACAAAATCCTCACTTGTTTTTTTTGTCTAAATCGGAGGATTTTAAAGGTATCTGCTCTCTCTTTCTTTTTGTTTCTTTATGAATATACGTTGCGTATAAATATGCGTGTGATTTGTCTTGTCTGGGGGTTTCTTTGAAATTCTTTAATTGGTGTGGTTTGGTTTTTGGATCTGAAATTTCGAGATGGATTTTGATAGGTTTTGATCAGAGAATCGAAGCTATAGAAATGAAAATAAGCAGTGGCAATTAGGGTTCCGACGTAATTCTTGGCTACCCAGGATTTTCGAGGCTTGAATTGGATCAGGGTTTTTTAGAATTATAATTAAAGAATTCTGTTTTTAATTTACTAGCGAATTGGAGGACTTTAGGGTTTTTCAGTACGCCAATTGAATTATTCATTTGGGATACTGGGTAATTGAGAAGATTTAATGGAGTTCAGATATTATTGAGTAAAATAATTAGGGATTAAGATGAAGGTGTGGGTTTAAGCGGGGATTGGAGTGATTTGATGTTTGAAGTTGGGGAATTGGGTAGTGCGAAATTTGGGGAAAATGCAAAAAAACAATCTTTATTATGCATGGGAGGGTTCAGCGGGAAGGCGAGAGCACTAGGAGCCTACAGAGAAGTATTAGTCAGCACATGCGGTCGGTCCCACCACTGGCTACGAGCAACAGAAGTATAGCTGCCGCTGGTGATCATTCCTCAGTTGCTTCTTCTACCAGCACCACAACCTCCACGACCAGCGATTCATTTCTCAAGGTAATTTCTTGTTGGATTTTCCATGTTTTTGTTGTTTAGATTTTGTATGTCATTGATTTTTTCTCTATAGCAAAATTCGGTTATTCTTTGTTTTTGGTGATTGTGTGGGAGGTAAGTCACTAGTACAGAAAAGAAAATTATGCACTTCGGTGATTGATATTTTTGTTTCACTCGGCATTTCTCTTACATGTATGGGAGGTGGAAGTCAGGTGAAGGATATTAAGATTCCATCGGCCAGCATGTATAGGTGGTAGATTCCGCTGTACTGTGGATTCCTTTTATGAGTAGTTGTTTTGTTAATGCCATTGGTGTGTTCCAGGACTCGACAAATTCTGTGCTTCTTCCTGTAGTAGATGGTGGTTTTGAACTTTCAGATTAGGTGATGGTACATCTGGTTCTTATGACTTTGAAGCAAAAGAATGTGATGAAGAGTAAAGTGGTGTTTTAGTACCTTGTGCTCATCTCTTCTTACTATCAAGAATGATGTACTCATAGAAACTTGAAGGATATATAATTAATGTTTATAATCGAGCATTTGTTCCACTAAATTCCATCGCACTAGCCGTCCCTCTTTGGTGCAGTTCTGAATTCTCTATCTTTTTGTTGCATTTCTATAATTGAATGTGCAGTGATTGATAGGCAAGATGTTCTAAGAGGAATTTTACTCTCCTCACTGATATCAAGTGCGAAGAAATTGTTTTGGTTACGGTATCTCTATATTGTCCGATGCGCTAATACATTCAAAATCTAAACGAGAAAAAGGTTCATTCTAATGCCGTTCAATTATAAGCCAGCAGTAGCTGGTATTCAAAATCTAAACGAGAAAAAAGGTTCATTCTAATGCCGTTCAATTATAAGCCAGCAGTAGCGAAAAATTGCTTTTGCAAAACTTTACTCACAAATGAGATATTAGATTACCGAGAGCATATATGGTCTCTCTTCCATATGTGGTGAATAAGAAACGTTTTGTGTTATATACTGCAGATAATATACTATTGAATCTTTAATTTGCTATTGAAATATGCCATGTCTTACCAATTTGATGTATAGTTAAAAAACTCATGGGTGAACTAAGGGTTCTGGAGGCCAAGTAAGCACATTGTATGCCGAAGTCACTTCTCTAGTAATTGAACTATTCACCATTTAACTTACAAGTGCATGAATCATGTTTACTTCATTTCAGTGTTTTCAGATATAAATGATCTTTACATACATTCCATTGAGGAGGTAAGGAACTAACGGGATATGTTAACATGTTCCTCTTGCATATCAATCAACCTCTTCTGTTTTTGGACTTCATTCGTTGATTTTGGAAGCATGCGCTAATAGGTTACCTAATTTGATTTTGGCATCACGTGAAAAAGAATGTTAATTGTAATCTTTGGGGACATTAGTATCTAGACAGATCGTGTGTAAAATTTTGAGAAAATACAATTTGTCTTGATGAGGTAAGCATTAAAAGGGGGCATTGGAGTCCATGGCTTATATGAAGTTAAGCCCCTAGTAGATAATAATGTGGGTAAGACATAGTAACAAAACCCATTGTATTTGTAAATATTCAGAGATGAAATCTGATGATTTTATTCGAATAGAAAACAGGCCATAATATAGGGGAAAAGTAAACAAACAACCTACACCAGATCCGGAATCCTAGTCCCTACAAATCAGACATTGGAAACCAAATAAAAGATATCAATATATTCTCCTAAATATCATCCTGCTAATCTGGAAATAAAATAAGAAACTTTTATGAATAATAAAGATAAAAAATCCTTAAGGTTCGGGATCTTCAACATTATTGTTAAACTTTGGTCACTGAACTTTTTTCTTCAAACTAGTTACTGAATTTCAAATTGTTTTAGTCTTGGCGCTTCATATAATTCCATTTATCGAATGTAGTGGAACGGTTACTTGAATGACAGAATTGTTCGTGGCTAAAAAATTGTATAAAATTTCTTTTTTCCTTTCTAGATTGCCAAAAATGCTTATTTTCTCAAAGCATTTTGCTGGTAAATTAGGTTTTTTTTAGAAGAGTAAATGTTTTTGTCAATCTTGATGATAAACATGTCATCCAGAAACTTCATCATTTCCGTCATACAAGTCAGCAATTCCAGTACTTTCAGAAGACAGGTAGATAAGTGCCAAAATTGATGCAAAAACGTAAGTGCATTGTCTAATGTGGGAAAAAATGGAGTTCGGTGACCAAAGTGAGATAAAACTATTAGTGTGTCGCAAATAATGATGTCTTCGTCAAATGGAAGTCGTGGAACGTGTACTGAGAGAAATGAGATCAGTTCTATTAGGCCAGTAACTCGTTACTATGAGTAATTACTCATTTATGCTAACTTGTATGAGACCTTATTTCGGGTTGCATCGTATGGTGTGTGTGGAGAGAAAGAAACAGTCGCTGTTTTAAAGATCAAACACGGGCAACAGAACAGAGTAGGGAATTGTTTTATTTGACATTATATACTTGGTTTAATGCTGCGGCTACTAGGCATATAGACGGGCTGTCCAATTTTATGTTGTTACTTTCTGATTTAAATTGATAATACACTTCATATGTATTATGCATTGATTAATAAAATATTTGATTACCCTTCAAAAAAAAAAGTTCAATTATTTTCTTTTCTTTTAGATAGGTGTATAAGAGAACAAAATGAGGATGCATTTGTTGTACTCTTGATGTGAATTGTGTGGACTTCTCCATTTTCGTTCATTTGCATATCAAAATGCTTGACGGCATTCGCAGTCAGTAATTTATAATGGCATCTAGTTGTCAGTATACTTTCTTTGCTTGCAGAATCTCTACAATTGCCAATTACAGATGATGTTTTTGCTTGCACATTCAGTAGATACGTATAATACTGACAAGTGGCAATATCCGTGTGGTTTATTTTGTCACTAAGCTTTTTTGTTATTCATATGTTGTGATGAAAATTTTAATTATTTCTGTTGTGAACTCTTTGCCTCTGTTTTTTCCTTTATGTAGGACGGCCGAAAAATTAGCATAGGTGATTGTGCTCTTTTCAAGCCACCTCAAGACTCTCCACCTTTCATTGGGATAATTCGCTGGTTGGCAGTGAGTAAAGAGAAAAAGTTACTGTTAGGCGTGAATTGGCTTTATAGACCAGCTGAGCTGAAGCTTGGCAGGGGCATTCAGCTGGACGCTGCACCAAACGAAATTTTTTATTCTTTTCACAAGGATGAAATTCCTGCTGCGTCGCTTCTCCATCCATGCAAAGTTTCTTTTCTTCCAAAAGGTGTTGAACTTCCTGCAGGGATATCCTCATTTATTTGCCGGCGGGTGTACGACATTGAGAATAATTGCCTTTGGTGGCTGAATGATCAAGATTACATTAACGTTAGTTGCTATGTGTTGTCAGTCTATATTCTCTTTGTATACTAGCTGTATTTATTTATTTTTTCTAATTGTGTACACTCACAGTTTAAAAGGTTTGGGAAAGGAATGGTTTGGGGTTGGTAGATGTATGTGTACCTTGTCTTTTCTTTTTCCTGCATTCTCTACAGATTCTATTCTTTGCTGTATATTTCCTCCATTGATTCAGGCTTTCTATTCTTGTAGGAACGACAACAAGAAGTAGATAAACTTTTACATAAAACACAAACCGAAATGCATGCAACTATGCAGTCTGGTAGTCCTTCTCCAAAACCAGTAAATAGTCCGTCATCAACCTTGCAATCAAAATCAGGTCCTGATAATGGACAAATTGGTGCAACTTCTTTTTCTCCTCAAGTTAAGGGAAAGAAGAGGGAGAGAGGAGATCAGGGTGTTGATCCTATCAAAAGAGAACGTTCTTCAAAAACTGATGATGGCGATTCTGGTATTTTGAGAGCTGAAAATAGTTTGAAATCAGATATAATGAAAATAACTGGAAGAGGAGGCCTCACAGATTTGGAGGGTGTTGAGAAGTTTGTCCAACTTATGCAACCAGAGAGAATGGAAAGGAAAATGGATTTGATTAGTCGCTCATTGCTTGCAGGTGTGTTGGTTGCCACTGATAAATTTGATTGCCTTAATCAATTTGTGCAGCTCAGGGGTTTGCTAGTGTTGGATGAGTGGCTCCAGGATATCCATAAAGGGAAGATTAATGATGGTAATAGTTCCAAGGATGGTGATAAATCTGTGGAGGAATTTCTTTTGGTTTTACTTCGTGCACTTGACAAGCTCCCTGTCAATCTCCAGGCCCTAAAAATGTGCAACATTGGCAGATCCGTGAATCATTTACGTTCACATAAAAACTTAGAAATTCAGAAAAAAGCAAGGAGTTTAGTTGACACATGGAAGAAACGTGTCGATGCTGAAATAGATGCGAAGTCTGGTTCAACTCAAGCTGTTTCTCCATGGCCTTCCAAAGCTCGCCTTTCTGAGGCTTCTCAGGGTGGGAGTAAAACATTAAATGGTACTGATGTTGCCATTAAAAGCTCAATAACGCTGCTTTCTGCTTCTAAAACTTCTTCAGTGAAGTC